TGTGTTAATATGACTTATATTCAAGTCATTAAAGATATGTATACTAGAGCTGTTACTTGTGTTCAAATTGAAGGTCATTCAAAGATAAGGCCCCCAACCCTGAAATCAAAGTTACTAAATTTATAAACTGGATAGAAGAAAAACTTATGATACTATCAGTTGGGAATTCATAATGGATATTCTTTCAGCTAGAGGTTTTCGAAGATGGTTATCCAACAATGTTCACTACATCCTCATTAATGGGCAAGGTTGGGGGTCCTTTACTGCTGCTAGAGGTCAGAAGCAAGGGAATCCTTTATCCCCCACCATATTCATTCTTTTCTACTCTTGTTATTGACTACTTGTCTAGAATATTGGATGCTTCCCTCCTGACCCAAAGCTATTCCAGATATCACCACAGATCCAATATAGCCATCGCTCCCCTACTATATGCTGATGACATAATGGTATTTTCCAGTGCCCATAAGAATGCAGTGAAGAAAGTCTTACAGAGCCTCCACAAGTTCCAATTACACTCAGGGATGTATTTCAATGCTGAAAAATGCCATCTGATCTTCAATAAGAATACTTCCAACAATTGTAAACAGTGGGCTTCTAATTACACTGGTTTTTCTTGTACCCAACTTCTTATCAAATACTTAGTTCTTCTCCTTAATGGGAGAACTAAACAAACACAGTTTGAGGAGTTTCTAAATAAGATTTCTTTCCTCCTATCTTGTTGGACTCAATCCTTCCTTTCAAATGGTGGTAGAATAACATTACTGAAGAGTATTCTTACCACATTTCCATCCTATATCCTACAGATGACAAACATTAAGAAAAGCACCCGAATTCAGATGGAAAGAGCTTTTAATAGATTCTTGTGGTCAGATCAAAGAAAGCAGATGCACTGGGCTTCTTGGAAGAAGGTGGCTAAACCCCAATTGGCTCGGGGTTTGGTTTCAAGGGGTTGAACCAACTACTTCAACTCAACCTGTGCAAAATCTGGACTAAATTCAGAGCTCAAACCTCTTTATGGGCTAAATTCATGTGGGGTAAATACTGTAAAGATCAACATCCCACCCTTGTTGTTAGAAAAATTGGTGACTCTAAAATTTGGGTGAAGATGCTCTGGATTAAACAAACTGCTAAAGAATTATTTTTATGGGATTTGGGTAAAAGGGACATCAGTTTTTGGCTTGATCATTGGTGCTCCAAAGATTGGTTGCCACCCCTTTCATCTGCCCCCAACCCTGAAATCAAAGTTATTGACTGCTGGGAAGGTAATAGTTGGTCACTTCTTAAACTCTCTACTATCTTGAAAAACCATTTTGTCAGGAAAATTGCCACCATAAAGTTTGATAGAAACAAAACTGATAAAGTTGTTTGACAAGCTTACTCTAATCAAAGCCTCACTAAAGCCATTTACACTAAACTTTATTGTTGGGAACAAGTTTCTTAGGGAGAGACTGTTTGGAATAAGTTCCTATCTCCATCCATGTTCTTTTTTCTGCTGGAGGATTTTCCAAAATCTATTACCAACAGATGATATACTCAAACTTAGAGGGCTGAGAAGTCCCTCCAGATGTTGGTTGTGCCTGCAGGAGGAGGAATCTCTGCCACATCTTTTCTTTCAATGAAGCTTTGTTCAACAAGTTTGGGATCAGCTCTTGACACATCTGAATATTGAAGTGATCAATCTTACTTGGGATAGAATTAACACCTGCTAGCAGAACTGGCATAAGCTGAATAATGCTCCTATACCTTTCATAGTGGCCTGGTTCACATGGATGTCAAGAAATAATGCCAAGTTTGAAGACACCCTACCTACTACTGAAAAGGTGGTTAGAAACAGTATAACATATTTACACAAAATGATCAAGCTTAAAAGGTTCCCTAATATCTCCAACTCCTACTCATCCGACAAGGTAACTACTCTACAAATCTATAAAGTAATCTGGAAGCCCCCTAGGGGTAACATTGTAAAGATAAATACAGATGGCAGTTTCACTGATATGGGTGTTGGTGTGGGGGGAATTTATAGAAATCAACTGGGCCAATGCTTGTTGTATTTTTATACTCCAGTTTTGGCTTCTGATGCTATAGAAACTGAGCTTATTGTTGTTTATTGGGTTCTAAACCTTGCTATCAAGACTGGATGAAACCACTTATGGATGGAAGTGGACTCTATTGTGGTCATCAGTTTGTTGGGCTCTGAGGAAGGGACACCCTGGCATCATTCTTTCTGGATTCAAAAGATCAGAGGGCGCACCCCCAGCTCAATGTTACTTTTACTTTTATATATAGAGAAGGAAACAAACTTGTTAACTGGCTTGTCAGACATGGTCTCTGCTCCAATACCATATCTGTTGCAGCCTCCCCACCCCCTTTACTTTTTCTGATGCATGGAGATATGCTAGAGGTCCCCACTTTAGAATTGCTAACCACAACGCTCCTAGGAGATAGTGTTTTCTATGTTGAAGATTTCTGGCACTCTTTTTTCTTTTCCGTTTGGATCCCCTTTTGCACTAGGGCTTATCTCTTCTGTATTTTTCCAGTTCTATTTTCTTCTCTTTGTAACTGCTGTAAGGTCCTTGGGATGAGGGATGACTCATTACTGTGAAGTCAACTCCCCTCTTCTCGTGTTGTAAAATTGTTTTAATCTAACATGTAGGGAGCCACTAGTTGCTTTTTTTTGGAAAAAAAAAAGTATATATATATTAATTAAATAACTTAAATAAAATCTTAAAGTTACCTTTTATATTCGGTCAACAGCCCTAATACACACGCACGTGGCTCTCTATTCCTGCAGCATGAGCGTCTTCTCCTTTGAATGTGATCGAGCTCCTTTTCCTTCGAGCACATGGTCTGCTTCTCCTCTCTACAGAGCCATTACCTTCTTCCCTTATTATAGCACGAATGCTTCTGCTCCACTCGAACCTGCACATGTACGAGTGCCTTTTCCTTCTTCTTCCTTCGAGTGGGAGCTTAAACTTCAACACAAACAATGATTGCTATCCTCCCTTCTCAACCGCTCGTGATCGATCAAGCACCTTCTCATGATAGGGAAAAGCCGCACAATCCTCCCTTCTTTTTTGGCTTCTTCCTCCTCTCCCACTTAGGAAATAGAAGGTACACACAATGACTTCTCTTACTCTTTCTTCACTATTGTTGCTTCCTTCACCTTCCTCTCATTTTCCTTCTCAACTGATCAGCTAGGGCACAACTCTAGCTTTGTCTTTCTCTTTCTTTTGCACTTGTTCTCCCAGTTTCTGAAATGAGAGACAGTCTCCCGTGAAAATGCCTCTTACGAATCTTAAGCCTAACCGGAGTAATGGCAGTTATTCCACATCGTTTCAAAACTTGATTTCCTTATCTATTTATTTATTTATAACAGATATTATGATTAGTTGGTTGAGTGTTGTTTAAATTATAGTTGATATTTTGAAATGTACATTTGTACCCGCTTTTACAAGTCGCCATGTGGGACTTGGTACTTTGATGATTAGAAATGATTTCATGGAGAACTGAGAAAGCCGTCAGGTATTAACAACCTTTTACCTTTTGTTAGCTAGTGATACTACTTCTCCATCAGCCTGTCCATTTAGCGTGATATTGAAAGTTTATTATTATCTTTGAATTTATGGAATCTATAAATTTGCTTGACCTTGTCGATTTAGATTTTTGGATTGCCCCCTGTGGATCATGACATAGAGAGATGAATTCTTTACTTCAATTTTTTTATTAGCTTTTTTGCTCTTGCTTCTTTTGGGCGTTGTCAAGATCATATTGTCCAACATCATATTCCCTTTTAAGTGCTGCTCAAGTTTAGCTTTCAGTAGGGTTAACCACAGATTGATGATTTCAAGTGCTTCACTGATTTTGGTAAGTTGCTTTTCCTGTGATAAGTTGATGCTTATTCTTTTTATTATTCCTGTTGTTGAGCGTTTTTTTTTTCATAAGCAGAATGTCATTTGAACAACTGAGTGAGACGCTTAATGATAGCGCCAATTGATCTGATTGTTGGTTTTGGGCAATGTGAGGATGTTGGCAACTATAGTCTACTCTCTTTGAAGTGGAATAAGGAAATTATTTTATATTTAAGGTTTTGTGCACAGCTAAACCCTCGTTCATGCTTTATAGTCTACTCTCTTAGCTAACACGACTATTGTAATTCACAAAGCTACACATAACAACTCATACCAAGCTAGAGATGGAACCTTATTCCCCCCTTTTCCTGGCACACAGCATCAGCCCCATTCTACCCTTTTACCTTGTGGAAGTCCTCGAGCCAAGCTAATGCCCTTGGTTTCCTCCTTGGCAGTTCTTCATTCTGTCATCTCTGTTGTTGCCTCCTTGGAGGCCCAATTTTAGATTTTTAGTACTTTTGTATTTTTTTCATTGTTCATGTAAAGTCAGTATAACAATGGTTTTTGGGTTTCAGAGAAAGGATGGTTGCTACTCTTCTATCTGCTGGGGCAAATCCGAGCTTGGTTACAGATCCTACTTCAGAAAATCCAGGAGGGTTGACTGCAGCAGATCTGGCATCAAAGTCTGGTCATGATGGCTTGGCTGCATATCTTGCTGAGAAGGGCTTAACGGCCCATTTTGAGGCCATGTCGCTTTCTGGCAATGTGCCATCATCTATCTTACGGGCCTCGAAAGATCAAGTCAACAATGAAGATTTATATTCTGAGATGCTTAGTGAGCAGGAACTATGCTTGAAAGAATCACTAGAAGCTTACAGGAATGCAGCTGATGCAGCTGATCGGATACAAGCAGCATTTAGGGAACGCGCTCTAAGGCTACAAACTGAAGCTGCTCAACTGGCCAAACCAGAGATGGAAGCATCTCAGATCGTTGCTGCTTTAAGAATCCAGCATGCCTATCGCAATTATAAAAGACGAAGGTTGATGAAAGCAGTTGCAAGAATACAAAGCCATTTCCGTACATGGCGCACTCGAAGGGACTTCCTTAACATGCGGCGGCAAGCCATCAAGATCCAGGTAAATGAAGTTTCTATACATGGAGTTAAGCATTGAAATTGAGCATTGATCAGGACTCCCTTATCTTTTGAAGTCACTTTTAAATGTTATTCCTTACTTTTGATTTCTATAAGAACCATCAAAATATTTTGAAGGATATGAACATTCTGGCTGAAATAAAAGCTCATTGTATGATTGACATAGTTGAAATCCAAGCATAAGAATTGAGTTTAATCCCTTCTATAGAGAAGTTTTATTTATATGAAAAGAAATGATTTGATCTGATGTTTCTTTTTTTTTTTTAATCCTCAACTTGCTTTCATGTTCATTTCCTGATATTCTAGAACAATGATTTTGATGTTTTTCACTCAATTTACAGTCTCGAAATGGATTTTATTTTATTTAGTCTGAGCCTCTTTTTTTTCTTTCTTAAAGTTTGAATTAGTTATTTTATTATTGCAGTTTGCTTGGAAAGATTTTATTTAGAAATTCTACTTTTTTCTGAAGGATGTTTATTCATCTATTTTCTAATGTCTAAACTGATTCTACCTGCCCCTACATTTGAAGGTTATATGAGCTTCCTAAAAAAATTTCTTCGTTGCTTGCCAAATTTTCGTTTATTAGCTCAAGCATTTACTTCGCAGGCTGCAGTGCGAGGTCACCAAGTGAGGAAGCAATATCGGAAGATTCTTTGGTCAGTTGGGGTGCTTGAGAAAGCAGTCCTTCGTTGGCGGCTGAAGAGAAAAGGTTTACGGGGAATGCAGGTTAATGCCATGGAAGTTGGCACACATAAGAACTTGGAAGCATCTACTGCAGCAGAGGAGGATTTCTTTAAGATTAGCAGAAAGCATGCTGAAGAGAGGGTTCAAAGGTCGGTTGTTCGGGTTCAGGCTATGTTTCGCTCTTACCAGGCACAGCAGCAGTACAGACGAATGAAACTGTCTCAGGAAAAAGCAAAGGTATTGACCTGAAGGGATTGTGTGGAAGCTGATTCTCAAAATCTTCAATTCAAAACAATAAAAGTAGTTACTAATTAAGTCCACAACCTTTTCATTGAAGTTCTTTCTTTGCTGGTAATCAAAATATGATTTCTTTAGAGAATGAGAGTGAGGGGAAATTGTGTTGGAGGGAGTGTGCAAACTCACTGCAAGCATCTCCATTGTGGTGTGACACGGGAGCTACCCAGGATGCATTCATGTGATGTTTACTGCAGTGTGCTACAGTTCTGTGACCCTAGCTGCTGTACCAAGGGACTAATTGTCGCGATTCTTTTATAGGGATCAAACTTGTCTAGACCAGTGAGGGCAAACCAGCTCTCCCACGCTGGCTTGGCGCCTTATTTCCATAGTGGGATACAATCCTAATTATCGAGGGCTTATATATGTAACTCTGGTGTTTTAGGTTTGGAGTTTTTTCATGTTTTTTGTTCAAGTCAGCCGTGGGTGTCCTGGTTTCTCCCTTCTAGAGTTGTATCCAAATGGGAGTGGTGCTCCGGCTTTAGCTCGTCCGAGGTGGTGGTCTTCTTCCAAAAGGTCGAGTGGTGCTACGGCTATAGCTTGTTCTCGCGGGGGTAATTAGCTCTGACCCCTTCCCCTCCCACCCCACAGCTGCTGCAGCCTTCCACACATGATATCTCGCTGAATTTCTGCAGTTTTTCCTGCCGCCATCGCCTTCCCCTCCCTCCTTTTCGCTGCCGCTGCTGGCCTTCCACAATGCAGCCCAGCTCACCCGTCCCTCTTTGCTTCCACTACACCTGGTACCTGCAGAAGCTCAACCCGCTGCTGTTCCTTCTCATACCCGCAACCTGGGCAGCCAATTTTTACTGATTTCCTTTCTATTCCACCACTCCCGGTTCACTGCTGCACAGGACAGCAAGTTGACGTTGTCTGACCGCTGATTTCCCAGTCCTGCACCTTCCCCATCTTTCTGGCAAGTTGACGTTGTCTGACCGCTGATTTCCCAGTCGTGCACCTTCCCCATCTTTCTAGAGTCCCTAACGGCCACCACCAACACCTGAGATTCATGCTAGTCGTGTGTTGTGTGCCGTGTCTATTGCTATTTCTATTCTCGTTTGTGAGATTGTATTTTTCTATTTTGGATTCAGCAAAAATACTTGATTTTTCTATTTTTATTCGGGTTACCTCCGGCATCAATTGGTTGGGTTGTTGGTGCATATTCTTCTAATTTTCTAGTTTAACTTTTTTTATTCCATTATACAGTCTCATAGAATGATCAATATATACAGTTGATTGCTGCTGTTCTGTTATCCGTGATACTGAAATTTCTTCTCTTTGGATAATGCAGCTGGAATTCAGTCTGAATGGTGCCGCTGGATTTCAATGAGCTTCTCAAGATTTTGGATGTACTTGTCGGTTCCTTGGATGATTTTCCTCGCATGAGACTGCACCAGCAGTTGGGTAGATTTTTCTGGCTGGTGGTAATGTTCCCTTGGCAATGACTGTTGAATGACCATGGTTTGATGCAGCTTGTATACCACGTAGCAATGACCTTGGAAATAGTTATTAAAGGCTGGTAGAGTAGTCCGTCTGTGAACAATAAGTCCTGTAAATAAATGAAATATTGTAAATAGCTGTGGGGTGGCAAAAGATCCCCACGCACCTGCTGTTTAGAAGTCAAGGCGCATCATGAAGCAACGATTCCACCAGAATCATTGCCCTGTTCTGTGTAGCTATTCTAACATCTTCGCCTAAATAAAATCGATGCTTGCCTGTCCCCCTTGTTATTTGTGAAATCAGGAAAACTTTGCCCACTACTTGTTTGATAGGTCTCTTAAGCTGTGATTTTTGTAATCGTTTGTTTAGAAAACTTGATAGAATTTAGGAATTAGCGTTTAATTGTTCGATGCCCGTACAAATTGCTACTGCTGAAACCAAAATTGTATTGTCATTAAATATTTCTAATAGACCAAAATTTTCGGTGAAAAAATTGAATTGGTCGAGTATGTTGTCCAAATCATTGGACATTGTGTTTAATTGTTCCATGCCCTTTCAAGTTGCTACTGCCAGATCGTTATTCATATAATGTTAGTTGATTTGGCCAAGGTAGTTTCTAAAGAAGTTTTGTGCAGCAAAATTTTTTGGATACTTCCAAAAAAAAGATTTGGAATTTGATTTCTCTAAATTTGATTGAACCATTTTGAATTAGCTTTGATTGATATGATTGATTTTTTTGGAGTTTTTAATTGAAGTTAATTCGGGCATGAAATGGATTTAAGTTAGTTCAAGCAGCCTTGGAGTCAGCAGAAGTGATGAAGAGGGGTGGGGGGGTGGGGTGGGGAGGAACTGCAGATGATGAACGTTTTGTTGCTTCGTTCGCCATGGAGTTCATATTATTCATGGAGGTACATTGATGAACTAGAAAGATGCATGTCTCATTATTTGATTATAGATGTGCTTATGAATTCTAATTCATTTTGATGACGGATCTTCTTGAAATGATTTTTTTTTTGTGTTTATTCAAATTCAAATTTAATGTAATTTGAAATTCATTTCTAACTATTTAATTACATAGATGTATATGTTATATAATGAACCTTTTGTATACCTTATAGGAGGAATTCTGAGAGGTAGCCTGACCAAAATTGAAGATTTCATCAAATAAGATGCGATTAACTCGTCTAGTCAATTTTGATTTGCTAAATGAACTTGTCAACTGGGTCTTGAAAGACTGATTTAACCGTCTTCAAGACAAATTCCCACTAGTATAAGGTTAGACTTGTTAGTTGACTAAAAAAAGAAATTGTATTTATTAAACTTATGTAGAACTCGTGTCATGCTAAAACTTGGTTCGCTTTATCAGCTATCGTTCAAATAGTTATCCAAGCTTATGACATGCTGCAAAAGAAATTGGCAAATTGCTTGTGCTTGGCAAACAATTATTGCTTTATATTATATAGCATTTACTTGAGCTGTACTCATCAAGCATTTTGATACGTTTTTCTTAAATATATAGTTGGCTATATTTGCCTATCATTTAGCGATATCTATCTATAAATATAGGATTTAGAAGAGCCGCGTTCTATTCTCTTTGTATTGTAGCTCTTTCGTGCGTCATTTCGAATTTTTCTCTACGCTTCCTGGGTTTCTCATCCCTGATCTTTTTATTTGATATTGTGCCAATAAGGTTCTTGTATAACCCATGTAATAAACTTTTTGAATAGATTGCCTCAAGCTGTGATCCTGAATAATGTGATGACGGAGGAAGAGTCCAATACATATGAGTGGGTCACCTCAACCGATTTCATTACCTTTTCTTTTTATTTGATAATAAAATAATTAAACTATGGAAGTGTGAGGGCAATTTTTAAAATTAGAACATAGCATGAGAGGTTGCACATGAGAAGTAATTAAAGGTAGAGAACCGCTTTACCAGTCGAGTATACAGTCCTATAGTGAAGATGAATTGGTTGGTACAGGACATTTAAATAAATTAAAATTCGAGTTTTGATTGGAGGGCTTGATCAATAATGTAAAAAAGATTTTCAAATATTATTATGAATGTAGGAATTTATGATCGATTTTAATAAATATATGACATGGGTTAAATATATGTTATATTCTTAACATGTTTAACCATGTTTTGGTATCTTTCATATTGATATTATGCTTGAGAAATATACTTTCTATCTTATTTGTGCAGGTGAGGTTGGATGTAGTTTCAGAATTAAAAAAAGGATGAGTATAAACACATAATGGTTGATTTTAAGCCAAAGTACGCATCAATCTTGCGGCATGCTTGCGCCGAAACAAAGAGCATGTGCCTAAAATAGAGCACGTTTGCGCCAGATTAAAGCAACCACGCTCAAATCTTTGCACCCTTACATTCCAGATGCAACACAGCAGTGTCAGAAAAACTGCGTCGATGCTCAACTTCGGCGTGCACGTGTCAAATTCATGGTGCACCCGCGCCAAATTCACGATGCACCAGTGCGGAATTCATGGCGCGTTCACACTAGGCTAGCTACATCAAATTTGAAATGATTTTTCTTGCCTTTGCCGAGCTTTAGCTATATATTTCACAAAAGATGCGTCTAGGGCATCAGGGCATCTTAGGTTGCTGGAGGTTATAAGAGGAGATTGATTTTTGCGAGAGAGATCTACCATCATGTTTTCTTCCTCTCTTTGGATTGAAACTTTTAGGGGATGTTTTTGCTTGTAGTCCCCTCTTTTACTCTTGTTATTCATGAGTTTTTTGTGCGAGAATGAGAACTTCTATTTTTGTGGAGAAAATAAATCCCGATATGATTTTTTCTATTATGTTTGACTAAATTCTCTTTCATTTTTCTGTGATGTAGGGTTAATGAATTTATCGTGATTTTTCTGAGATTTTTTTCATATAGCATTTTTTGAGCTTTTATGGACTTATGTTGGTTAACTTTTGAATTTTATTTACTCTTAATCTAGCCAATTAGGATGTTAATATATTTTACAATTTATGACTTCTGGTCGTTGATTAGTGGAGCAAATATGTTAACCACAGAATCCTGGTAGAATAGGCATATTTTGACAGGATTCTACAATCTTGATTGAGGATCAAAGAATCATAGAAAATGACATGGTGTTTGATTAGTGGAGCAAATATGTTAACCATGCAAGAAAGCATTAAAAAAAATCATGAATCCTGACATGCCTAAAAATGTGTTTTTTTTCATATATACATTTTATGCTCATTATGCTCATTTTTAATGATATTACACTTTAATGGATGGTATTTTGCTTGTTTTTTTATTACAGATACAATAAATAGAGTTTTGGAGAGAAAAAAACAAAAACAGAGCAAAATGGAGTTAAATAGAGCAAAGTAGCACAAAGTAAAATGGCGCCTAGGCGCCAGATCCCTTAAGTAGAAACAGAGGGCCCGATGCCATGGTGTCAGGATCTGGCGCCTAGGTGCTAGACAGTTATATTGGGCTTCTAGAAGGTTTTGATTACTATGAATTGATTTTGGACGAATTTTGAAGAGGCATTTGAAGTGACTCTTGGGAATTTTGAGAGTTATCATAAAAAGAATTAAGAGATGCCAAAAAGTGTGTGTGCCATGGTGGTCGGGGTGTGTTTTGTGGTGGTAGTGGTATGTCGTGGTTGTCGTGGTGATGTTTTTCGAGAGAGTCTTTTTTTGTGTGTGTGTGTGTGTGTGTGTGTGTCTTGGAGTGAAATTGTAAGGAGCGTTTAGAATTCATCAAAAGAACTTCAAAGGATTTGCTTGGGAGAAGTTTAAGACAAGTACTTTGTATTTTTGTTTGAGTTCTATTTTACTGTGTAAACTTGAATTTTAATCTAAACCATGTTTTGTTGTGTTAACACCATGAAGTATGAGTAGTTTTTTTTATCTCTCCTTGCAATAAAAAATAATCATGTATAAGATTAGAATTGCTTAAGATTTCTCTTATTCCAAACTTGTGTTGATTTATTACTTCGTACTTAATTTACAAATTCAATTTGAACAATTGGTATGACACTTGGGGTATGTTAAAACGTTTTTTTAAGTTTTGAAATTGAATTAGTAGGAATTAGTTATTTCTTTTCATACATAAACTTACGACCTTATTTCTTAGATAATTATTTGGAGTTTAAGAAAAGTTTTACTAAGTAATAAAAAGAGTTTTCACCTTCCCAATGCGATTGATACTGGGGATTTAAAAAAAAAATTCTATATTACTTGAATGATAATTGCACTTGTGTTTCAACAACAATGAAGCTTTCAAATGAATAATTAGAAAGTTTAATACCTACATCACTAGAAGTAGCCATTATAATAACATAAAATATATTATCAGCAAGGAAAGCCGGTCAAGTTTATGTCGCCTTTACCAAGGACCGAAATTAAAAATGATTTACAAAAAGCAAGTACAACAAATTGTGATATCAAGTTTTTGGCGTCGTTGTCGGGAACTAATACTAAAGAAGATAAACACAAAGCAAGTCATCAAATTATGGTATCAAGTTTTTAACGTTGTTGTTGGGGAAGGAAGGAAGCGACGGAAATCTTGACTTAGAAATTTTATTTAAACTGTAGATTTTCTTAAGGAAAATTGTAGTGTTATGTACTTGTTTGTTTGTTAAAAATATTTGTGTAGATTTTCTTAAGGAAAATTGTAGTGTTATGTATCTATATAAATGCTTGTTTGTTTGTTAAAAATATTTTCTTATATTTAAGTATTTTTGTGTGTTTTGTTTAATTTTATTTTCCGAACTTTTACTTTTGTATGTGTGGTTCAGGATTTGAAGGCTTAATGCCATACAATCCTAAGTTTGAACGAACTATAAGAAAAATTTGAAAACAAAAAGAGCTTCAAAATTTACAAGAAATAACAATCACATCACATAGTAACATTGATAATTAAAATGTTGAAAATGAACACCATCACCTACAAAGACTTTTAAGGGACTATGCAAAACCTGCAATAGATGAAATTCACTTGAGCTTACAAACCCCTGTTGTAGTGGTCAACTCTTTTGCACTAAAACCAATTATAATCTAAATGGTACAAAACAATCAGTTTAGGGGAACATCATCTGAGGATCCTTACTTACACATTTCTAGTTTTCTAGAATTATGTGTTACATTTAAGTACGACAATGTATCAAACGACGTTGTTAGACTTAGAATTTTTCCTTTTTCTTTAAGGGATAAAGCTAAGATATGGTTAAACTCCTTAGCACCTAGATCTAACAAAACTTAGGGAGATTTAGCGTAGAAATTCCTAGATAAGTATTTTTCACCTTAAGAAATTGCTAAGTTTAGAAATGACATTATCTCATTTACTCCGAAGCTTGGGAATGATTTAAAGAACTCTTTAGAAAGTTTCCACATCACGCATTGCCAGATTTGTTGATTATTTAAACATTTTG